CTTTTCTCCCAGGTCCACATGGCTGTGGGGTGGGAGGTGAAGAGGTCTCCAGCCACCAGATGTCCCAGTCTGAACACAGCCTATCGCAACAGCCCCTTTGCCAACGGACAGCCCTGTGGTCGCTGGGTCTCCTGTGGGTCCCTCGGGGGCACATGCCCATATTGCACCCGTTGGCCTCTTGACTCAAGGCTGGGGAGCCACAAAAGCTGCTCTGCCCTCCGGTTTTCCTGGCCCGCTAGAGGAAGAGACGTCTAGGGACACACCACGGTTTTACCAGGGATTCCTTCTCGGGGGCTGCTCTTCATGCCCCAAGGGGTGCTAAGGCAGCTTCCAGCCCCTGGGGGGGACCACCACCCCTCTTCACACTGGGAAGCAGCAGAGGAAAAGCTGGAGCCAGTCCCTTGCCTCCCGCTTGCTCCTAAACGCCCCGGTGATGTCTCTGAGCATGGCACACTGGGGAGCTGGGAGGGGTGGCCGCGTTTGACACTGCGCACTGCCGAGTCAGAGGAGGCCTACGGAAAGCGCCTGTGTTCGCAGAGCAGAGGGGCACAGCACATTACGGCCCCCCCGGCTCTGCGAGCCACACGGCACAGCTGCCTGCTAGCGCACCCAGCTCTTGGAGTCGGTCCTTCCACTCAAATGCCAGAAGCCCAGCGCACTGGGACCAGAGATCCCAGGTGCAGCCCCTGCCCTTGCGGCACAGTCTGCCTTGTTCTGCTTCTTGCCCAGTCCCCGCTGGCGGTTAGGGAGACCTAGGTGTGCGCTGGGGGAGGCCTGTCACACCTATAGAACATTCCCAGTTGGTGGGTGCAGGGACAATCTGTCACCTCGAGACACCCCCCCAAACATGAGCTTGGGAGAGGGGAGGGGGCTACTTGGCAGAGCTCAGAGCACAGATCAGCAGGTGGCTGGGACTCAGCATTGACTCATGAGACAAAGCGGGGAATTGTCCCAAAACCATCCAGGAAGAAAAGGGGAAATCGTACGTAGCTTGAGAAATAAACTCAGCAAAAACCCAGAATTAAGACACGCAGGGAGTTTCGCAGCCCGGCCCCGGCTTCCTCGCCCCCTCATCTCCCAGCCAAACCGCAAGGGAGAAGCCTGGGGCCGACCCAGCGCTATGCTCAGTGAGCTGGGCGCACACAGCGATTTCCGTTTCCTCCCAGTATAAATACAACATGCTCATGCGCCAGACCACAGCTTAGCAGAGCCTCTGGGAGGCCACAAATGCTTTTTGTGCTGCATGACTCCCCAGCCTGCCCCACGGCTGACCCCCACGTGCTCCTGGCCCACTGGCTGCCTGGCTTGGGGGTGGATTCTTATTCCTGCTTTTGGCAGCAGCGTTTGAATCCAGATTACCCTGCAAGCCCTCAGTTGGGACTCGTTTCAGGGAGCAGGTGGCTGTCCTAGAATGGGGAGGAAGCCATGTTCTCGCTAAAGCCGCTGCTCCTTAAAAGGGTGTAGACTTTCTGAACTGTCCATCGCCTCACTGACCTCAGAATCCCACACCACACCTGGCCTTGAACAGCCAGCGCAGGAGACACTCCCCTGCAATGTCCAGGGGGGCTGTGTCTGAGTAGGACACGTGGGTCAGAAACCTTTGCGTAGCAAGCAGCAATCCCTTCCTCATGAGGCCGGCCAGCCTAGTGGTTAGAGCAGGGCACGGCATCCAGACTCCAGGGTCCTGTTCCCACCTGTAAGTGTGGCTCTGTGCATACTTGGCAAGTCACTAAGCTCCAGAGACTCGTTCCTCACCCCCCATGAAACAGGTGCTCACAGAGAGGGAGAGGTCTGCAGAAGGGATGTCAAATATCGGTTACGTGAATAGTCGATTAACCTCATGAATTCTTAGCGGTTAGTCGACTGTTCTATAGTCCCCAGGCAGTCCATGTTGGGGGGGAGGGGTCTAAGCTCCTGGACCCAGAATGACCTGGAAATGACCCAGACTGCCTGCCCACCTGGCTCTTAATACACTTAGAGCCGCAGCGGAGGTAGGTCCAGGACCCAGAGCAAGCCGGGACTGAGCCAGGCTGCTGGCCAGCCTGCTAAAAAAATTTACTGGCGGGGGGAAATGCGTGTAGTCTATAGCATTACCCTATAAGCTTTTGCTTATCAGTTAATCGACTACACTATTACATCCCTATTCTGCAGGGCTCCATCACTGAATGCTCAGTGCTTGGAGCTTCCCGCTCTCAGCAGCTGCTTTTCCCACGGTAGTGCAAGTCAATGCGTGATTCTGTTCCGGCGAGATTCTTGTACCACACTTGTAATGTCAGAGCATCACAGTTACCCCTGCTCTGGGGCTCGACCGCCACAAATCACTCATCCACCTTTGTTAGTTCGTCCTCCCACCCCCTAGTTACTCAATGGCTTCATGGTCACTGAATCTTAGACTGTGAGCTCTCTGGGGGTCAGGGACGGGCTTTTCCTTTCTTGTTTGTAAGTGTCTAGCACACCAAAACCCCACTGCAATCGCAACAGCAACACAGGAAGTGACCTGCCACGTAAAGTTCCACTTAAACCTCTGTCCTCCACTTGATTGCTCCTGGAGTTCCTCCCTCCAGACTGCTCAGCCCACACCCCGGATCATCTTCAGAGAGAACTTCTTGGACAGGAAGTATGGTTTTGTTGGTCAAGCAGCGGGCTGGGGCTCACGATATCCGGGGACAGTTCCCAGCACCACCAAGGAATTAATGTGCGACCGTGACCAAGAGACTCTGGGCCTCAGCTCCCCATCTGTAAAATGGGAACATGTTACCTGCCTTCTACTCTTTGGAGCAGGGACGGCCTGCCTGTCTGTGCACATGGCACAAACGGGCCTCGGTCTCAGCTGAAACCGCTATATGCTCCTATCTCACTTAGAGCTGCACTAGTGAAAAATCTGCCCCATGAGTCTCCGCCTGGAGATTTCAAGCGGACTCGGCCAGCCTGTTCCGTCAGCAGGGAAGTACGAGCCACCTGGCTTTTATGCTACAGCCCCTCTGCTGGTGCTGTGGGGAGGAGGAAGAGGCCAGGCTGAAAAAGGAAAAGGATTTGAGCAGGAGTGGATTTGAAACAGCAGCAAAGTGATTGACCAGGGAGTCCCGTGAAAGGCTTGCATGTAACCTGGGAAAGCAGAGTGCAGGCAAAGAGGGATGGTTCTCAGCATGGAAATCAGTGAGAACTTTCCTAGTCTGTAGAGGGGGTCCCATGGCCAGTACTGGCTATCCTGGCCTCAGGCTGTTCTGCGATCTCCGGAGGCAGCAGGTTCCAGGCTAGATCCCTTGGTGGTGTTGGGAGGTTCGTTCAGGTCAGGCTGCCAGGAACTCGCATTTCCCGCATCTCTCCCTACGCAGGCAGGGAGCATCTGCCACGTGAACACGGCGATGCCAGCGGAGTCAATGGGGCTCCTCTAGCGCACCTCAGAGGTCTCCAGCTGCAGCATTGCCAGCACAACCCCTTTCACCAGTGCTAAACACAGCCTTCCCACAAGGTGCCAAGGTACCCCTATTGTACGGTCACCGCGCGCACCCAGCCCTAAGTCACCACAAATCCACCGGTCTGGCTGGTGCTTGGTCCTGCCGCGAGGGGCTGGACCCACCAACCTCTCGAGGTCCCTGCTGGTGCTCGTGTTCTAGGAGTCTATGTTTCAAAGGGGCGCCCCTTCCACGGGTGAAGAACACGCACGCTGGCTTCGAGCTTTTCATCTCAGGGCCGTGGCCCTCACATGGCGCGGCCGGGGGAGGAGACCCTGATCTGACTTACACCACAGCATCCGTGACAGGGACCGGCCCTGGTCACCAAGGGCAGCAGCTGAGCCCCCGCAAACTCCAGCCCTAGCTTTAAGGGTCTGTTCCGGGCCCATGACACAGAACAATCCACAGGCGCACGCCCTTCCCACAAGAAAGAGGAAGTGCACTATTAGTAACAGCCTAAAGGAAAAGCACATTACAGGGGTCGCCATGGTAACCTCGCCCCCCCCCATCGCATCCCCTGGCCTGCTGGCTGGGAAAAGCAGGATTTCCGCTGGAAGAAGAGCAATTCCCGGATCTGAGGGGCTGCGACGGAGGAGGAAACCGGCCTAGAGGTGCAGGGGGACTCACAAATACAATACAGAGCCGGGCCCAGAGCGGGGAGGGGAAGCGAGCCCCCTTCCCCACAGAGACAGGAAGCAGCAAGTTCCTGCTCCCAGCAGAGCCAGGACCGGGAGGTAGCGCAGGGGCCTTGCTGCTCTGGGGAAATGGGACCAGAGACCCTTCTCCAGATACAGGGACAGCATCCTGCGAGGCAGCTCCCAGAGTTAACCCACCCCAGCCCTGCCCCCCACACAGATATAGCCCAGGGACCTGATGGGAAGAATAGGTCATGCAAGCATTTTTAGGGGAGAGATACAGCCCCCCCGCACGAGTTGCAAGTACTAAGGGGTGTCCCCTCCCCAGGCATGGCCAGAATGGCTGGAAGGAAAGTGACACCCTCTTCCACCCCACCCCACCCCACCCCCCATCAGCAAGTCCAGCTCAGGCAGGAAAACAAGCGGCTTGTTTATGCAACATCCTTTTGTCCCTGCTGCTGATTAATAAATAGCGAAGCGGGGAGAGGGGGCTTTGCTCCCTCCGGGCTATGTCCGGGGGAGGGGGGGGGGTTACTCCGCATTGACACCGGAGCAAGGGGAGATCAGGGCGGTGGAGACGGGAATTGAGAGCCCTGCTTGTTTCACCAGGGGAAACAGACCAGGGTGTGGGGCGAAGGAGCCAGGCAGCCCCCCGCGTGCCGGGGCGGGGGTCTCCCGGCTGCCCCGCCTCAGCCCCAGGGGCAGGAGCCCCCAGGAGGAGGGGGGCAGCCAGACATGAATCCAGCCCTCCCCCCCCAGTCTGCGCAGCGGGGTTGCCCCCCGGCTCCCGGGGCAGGGGGAGACCGACAGACAGACCCTCCCCCCGTGCACACGGGACCCAGAGACTCCCTCCCCGCGCCCGAGGGGAGCAGCCAGCGGCCCACGCCCGCTGCCCCAGGACTTCCCTCACCTTCAGCGGCGGCTCCAGCCTGCAGGCACCCGGCCAGCCCCTGCTCCGCGCCGCTCGCCCCGGGCTGGCTGGCCCCCGGAAAGGCGGGCAGGGCGCTGGTGGGGGCCGGCTCCTCTCACTGGCGAGCAGCCCTGGGCTCCCCTCCTCCCCCGGCAGCGCTCCGGCGTGCGAGTGGGAGCTCCCGCCTCCCAGCAAACCCTCCTCAGCTGGTGGAGGGGACCCGGCCGCGCGGTCCCACCCCTTCATTGATTGCAGCCCCGGCCGGGGCTGTCACTCAGCGGCCCCTGGGGGGGGCTGGAAAGTCCTTCCTGGGCAGGCACCACCTCGGTCACTGACGGGGGCAAGCGCACGGCATCGGGCCGCCCAGGAGGGGGGGATGCAGAGCTACCACCGCTGCGTGTTGTGTGTCTGCAGGTGGTGCACCGCCGCACATGCCTCCGTACACATAAAGTTTATTCCGCACATGAGAGGAAATGATGACAGGGAACACTGGAGGGGGGGGGGCGAGGAACTCCTAGTGCCTCCTGCTTCTGTAACCCCTGGGCACACAGACCCAGCTCCTCAAAAGGATCCAGCCCCCCAAGTCTAATTGATTTCAAATGCATTCAAAAATCCCAGTGATTTCCATGGGCACCAGGCACCTTTGAAGAGCAGGGTCCTAGCTACCCTCAGACAGGATCCGGACTCTGTAGCCCAGTTGTTTGTCTCTAATAGGAGCCAACACCAACTTCAAGCCCCCCCCCCCCCCACCACAGAGCGAAAG